CGCTGTCATAAGAGAAGGATAACTCACGCTTTATCTTTTCGCACAAACTGAACCACCCCCCTGCCCCCCCCCCCCCCGCATGGAAAAGCAGGTAAAGATGATATTATCTGAATATATGATCCAACAAGAGAACAGAGTGAATGTGAAGTTCATATTTTATTTCTAAATCCAGGTCCAGTTTTATATTTCTGTTCCAACATGAGAGCTGGGATGAAACAGGTGGGTGGTTCAGTTTGTGAAACCGGAAACTTTATTATAATTTGAATTTATTTATTTGAACTAAATGCAGTTCAACACAAACATGTATATTAAACACACGGCTGATCAGCTGAAGGAGCTTGTAAAACAATAAAAGCCGTTAAATGAGCTTGTTTTTAATCAGCTCCAAACCAAAGCTAAGTCCTCATTAATCACTTCACCAGCGCCTTCTTTATTCCCTCTAATGAAGGAGCCAACATGCAGGTGACGTTCACCCCCCTCGAGGCCAGGCCCTTCAGCCGGTGTTGCAGTTTGTTGCAATGTGTTGCGTAAGAGCTCGTAAACGCCTTACAGAACCACCGATGTCTCAGTCAGTCTGTAAATAATAACTCCCTTTAACAGATAAATACACACACTGATGGTGGACACTGTGACGCTCTTTAGAAACAAGCACTGCTCATGAAGGGTGCGCACGATGTTCTGTGCTGCTATATTCATGATTTAATCACACGGGACAAGTCTCAGAAGTGATCTGAATGATTTCTGAGTCGTACCTAGGTTATGCCTCTTGTTCTTGGCATGCTCGTGGATGTGTTTTTTGGAAAAGCAGGCGAAGAAGACGCAGTAGAGGCAGGAGTGGAGTCTGTTGAGGTGGGCGCCACACATGTGACAGACACACGACTTGGCCTGAAACAGAAGAAGAACAAACAGGAAACAAGGAGAGAATGATTGATTCAGAAGCAGCACCAGAACAACTGTCATCTAATCAGTCAATCACACGACCACACGAGGAGTCATGATGTTTCACAAAGACCACCACAGCAGAGGATGGAGACAACCATCACAGGTGACAGGATGAAACCCTCACAACCCTGAAGGACTTCAGGGAGAGTCCTGTCCTGGGAAGAGCCTCCTACCTCCATTTGTGAACCATGCTGGGACAACAGGAGGACTTCTGCTTTTCTGGCTAAACGTCCAGCCACAGGTCTCCATGTTGGTGGTTATATCTTTGGTTAGTGGCTTCATGTTCTACAGCCAAAGCTGCTGGGGATTAGGGCTGCAGCCATCTTGGACAACCTCCACCAAGTTCTGGGATCCTCGCCTAAAGTTCTCACTCTTCTGCGTGTGTGCTCGGCCGCCACATGCTCATTCATTTTTTTTTATTTTTAACGTATTTGTCCACTTTGAACATAGAACTGAAGAGGAGTATTTATTGAGAACTATGAACCCAAGCACAGTTTCAAAGTAAAAGTATTAGAGGTGCACCGATTGCAGCTTTCTGGCCGATCACCGATTTCTAAAAATCTGATCTGCCGATACGATTTTGTTTTATAAGCGACACTGTCAGGTGTTATAAGGTCACAATGCACCTTCAACTTTCCATCTCATTTTATTGATAAACATACCCTAGAACAATATCCTAGAAATAATACAAACTTGTTTTAACTGGCCATGAGGTAGTGCTCTGAAATATAAATGAAGTTTAGACAATTGTTGTTGAAACTTTAAAAAAATAAATAAAAAAATAAAAAAAAACGGGTTCTCATCCAAGTATCGTCTGATTTCCGGTTTCCCAAAGTTAAGGAAATTGGGGCCGATAAATCGGTACACCCCTAAAAAGTATGAAATGTGCCTTTCCACAAAACAAACAGAATGCAGCACTTTGCAGATCCTATAAACCCATATTTTATTGGCAATGGAACAAATATCTAAAATGTTGAAATTAAGAAACTTTATCATTTTGAGAAAGTTACTTTTTTTAGCAACAACTTTTTAAAAAAGTTGTGCAGCGCCACATTTTTCACCGTGAAGCGTCTCCTTTAATCAACAGTCTAGAAACATCTGAGGAGACGTAACGTTGTCCCACTGATGTAGGATTCAAGACGTTTAACAGTCCTTGTTGCTTCATGATGCTCCACATGTTTTGGATTGATGAGAGGTCTGGACTACAGGCAGGTCAGTCCAGCACCTGGACTCGTCCAGCACCTGGACTCTTCCACCAAACCGTCCTGATGTTGTAAAGGATGCAGTTTGTAGATTAGAAACAGTACTTTTCAAACTAGTGAACCATTTCCATCATTAAACTGCAGCGGTAACAGGTCCAGGAGGGAAACCCAGATATCCCTGTTCTAAGCAACCTCATCCTGAGGGATCCTGGGACGTTCCCAGCCCAGAGAGGACATACAATCCCTCCAGCAAGTTTTGGGTCTGTCAAGGTCTCTTCCCCATAAGTCAAGACCAGAAAAACCTTTAAGGGCATCAAGGAGGCATCCTAGTGCCTGAACCACCTCAACTTTCACAGCAAACTAGTGACCTACGGTCCATTTTTGTTTCTTTTCCCTGAAGGAGAGTGGTAAAAAGGTAGAGAAGAGAGTCCAGACAGGATGGCGTGGATGGAGAAAAGTTTCAGGAGTAATTTGCTACAAAAGGGTGTCAGCAAAGATCAAAGGAAAAGTTTACAACACAGTGGTGAGACCAGCAATGTTGTATGGTCTGGAGACAGAGACATGGACCAAAAGACAGGAGAAAGAACTGGAAGTAGCAGAAATTAAGATGTTGAGGTTCTCCTGAGTGACAAGGATGGATAAGATTAGGAATGAGATCATCAGAGGTACAGCACAGGTTGAACAACTGGGAGATAAAGTTAGAGAGACCAGACTGAGATGGTTTGGACATGTGCAGATGAGAGACAGTGGTTTGGACATGTGCAGATGAGGGACAGTGGTTTGGACATGTGCAGATGAGGGACAGTGGTTTGGACATGTGCAGGGGAGGGACAGTGGTTTGGACATGTCCCTCCTGAGGAGGGACAGTGGATATATTGGTAGAAGGATGTTAGAAATGCAGCTGCCAGGAAAAAGACAAAGAGGAGATATATGGATGCAGTTAGAGAGGACATGGAGGTAGTTGGAGTGAGGACAGAGGATGCAGAGGACAGAGTGAGATGGAGGATGACTTGCTGTGCAGACCCGTGAACAGGGAACAGCCAAAAGCAGCAGCAGCCATATCTGAGTAAAATGTTATTCTCATGTTTTGCTCGTAACATTGTGGAGCTGTAAAGATGACGTCAGATTTATTGAATAAATGTTTAAGATTATTATCCAGGATCCAGCTATGAATTATTAACAGTGCTGCCTCCTAAACATCCTGTCTGATGAACAAAGAAGGCAGCACGTTTGGTCAGGTAGATCACAGCAACGGTTCAAAGCGTGCAGACGTGGAGTCAGCATGAAGATGAGGTGGGGGGAACAAATGAGCCATGTTGGAACGAGGAGAGATGGTAACATTGAAACAGAGCATGGAGGGAGGACTTTCAGGTCCAAAACATGTCATGTCAATCACACTCGTGTGGTTGGTGATTTCACCTCGTACATGTATCTTTTACCTCTTACCTGTCACATTTGCACCATGTATGTTTCAACAGGATTTTACAACGATCTATCCCTGTAGTTGATCATTTGTTCATGTTCATGTCTGCTCATGTCTTGGACACTGGTACGTCCTCAAGTGTCGTATGGAAGGATCTGCACAGCTCCAGCACCCCCATGGAGCCACTGATCTTTGAAACGTTGTCCAGCGAAGGAAAAGTGTTCAGCCAGATGGATTATGTTTGAAACAAAGGAAACAAGAACCGCAATAGACCTGCAGCCTGACCGAGTCACATAGACCTGACTCAGAGTCCAGGAACTCGCTGATTTGATGGGAAATAATTCTGACGTTGTGTAATAATGCCATTAAAAGAATGAAATCTTTGTTTGAAATTTTTACATTCACTGCAGCAGGCGATGTGCATTCCTTCAACAAATACTACTCTGATTTTTAGAAGTCTCTATAAGTTTGACATCATTTCAAGCAGCTGCATTTACTGCCCACATTCCTTTCTTCATTCAACCTTTGTTTCTACAGGTTAATCCCACTGAGCTTCGGGGACTCATTTACAAGAGACTTGATTTAAAAAAAAAGAATGATGACAACAATGAAAACAATAGACAATCATAAAGGATGTATACAAACTGAGAATAACAAGTGAAAATAAAATGGTATTGAAAAAATGTAACAAAAAAACAGCTAGGTTGTAAGGTGATGTAGAAAACTAAAAACAGGAACATGTCTGCATTGGTTTTTCCCATGAACTTAGTAGATGTTTGAAGCCACTTAAGAGAGGTCAAGGTCGAGAGATTCAGGTCTTTTTGTAACGTGTTCCAAGTTGCAGGAGCGAAGTAGGAGAAGGCCCTTTTGTCTAGTTCAGTCCTCACTGAGGGGACACTGCAGGTAATAATGTCCTGAGAGCGCACGCTGTAGCTGCACTCACACAGAGACGTGTAGGAGGAGATGTAAGAAGGCAGCAGACCAAGAAGTGATTTAAAGATGAAAATGTACCAGCGAGAGAGTCTGCGTGAAGTTAATGATGACTAGTTAACCAGTGAGTAGGCCTGTCACGATAACAAATTTTTCTGGGCAATTAATTGTCTCAGAAATTATTGCGATAAACGATAATATTGTTTGAAATTTGACAATAATTAGTCATTATTGTCAAATTTAAGAAGAAATGATGGTTAATTTGTTTTGAGTGTAGTACCTTTTTTGACCACTGGATGACAGTATAAGACTGTTTGAACTGAAGGATGGATAGTGAGGGAGCGAGCAGCGTGTCTCTAAGAAAAATGGGAGGGAGGCCCTTTGACATGACATGAGCTGTCTCTCTTCGGTTCTCAACATGGCGCATAGCATTTTGCACACAAAGCTTTTAATAATTTTTTTTTTTTTTAAATCAGTAAACAAGTTCTCAGCTTCTTTTTGCAGAGAAAAACAACATTTTACACGAAGGCACAGGTTTCAATTAGGAATGCGCGATATATACGGTACACGGTAGAAACGATAAGACATTTAGTCTACGATAGAGATCTGTCTTCTACCGGCTAACCGCAGTAATGCTGTGTCTGATGTAAAATCATTAATCAGAGTGGTCAGATTTAATCGTTACTTTCTTTTAGTTGAAAATTGCGTAAGCGGTGGTAAAGTCCTCGAGAGCTAAGTAGTGAAGCTACAAGCTAACTAAGGCCGGCAAGCTGTAGTGTTGCCGTATTTGGACGCATGTGTAAAACGCTGTGTTCTGTCAAAAGTTTTTTTTTTTTCCGTTGAAAGTTAAAGTAAGCGTTGGTCAGCTTTAGAGAAACCTGCTCTCTGATCTGTGAAAAGAACGCTGTGTTGTGTGATTTTACTGCGAGATTCTCTGGTCAAAGCCACAGAGGAAACTGGTCACCATTTTGTGTCAGCACTCCTTAAAGCGGAAGGAGACGCCCACTAGAGGGTTGGAGTGTTAAGTGTTTTCAGTGTAAAATGCTGCTCTGTTGCTGTTCATTTCTTAAGTGAGAAGACGGGAAACTGTCAAGAGTTAACAACATATACTTTTGATTAAAACATATGGCTAAAACTACATTTGATATATTTTGCACTGTTTTGCACAACATAAAAGAAGCCTAATACTTGATTTGTTTATTATTTACAAACTCTCTGGACCTAGTAGTGGAATTTTCTTAATTGAGAGATTATTTTGTGGTATAGCAGTTTTCAAAATAAATGATGGCAAAAGGACACCCTATGCTTTTTAAAAAAAATCCTATTGCAACTTTTATACAAAAAATATATTGTGATATATATCGTTATCGCCACCCTTCACAATACATATCGTGATATGGATTTTATGCCAAATCGCACATTCCTAGTTTCAACTGTGAATTTTGGAGCTTCGACAAGACACTCTCAAGAAGTGACACTAAGAAGTAACACACACACACACACACACACACACAAGCATCACATCTGTTGTGAAAGAAGACACCGTCAGTCCACAGAACTTGCACAGAAAAAGGAGAAGTGTCTTTAGGTTCACTCTTTACACCTAAACTGGAACGGAGCGTTGCTGAGTCCAACAGTTAACGGTTTCATTAGAAGAAGACGTGCACGTGTTAAGGACACAGCTCAGCCACTACCACGTCAACTTCTAGCATGAAAGCTGTAAATTGTGGATATTTGTGCTGTCTAAGTTCAGCTGGCTGTGGCGGCCATCATGAACATCTACTGAGTACTTTCTGAAGGTTACACTGAAGTCCAGCTGCTGGTTCATGAGATATTTCACTAACACACGAACACAAACATAAATGTTTCCAGAAGGTTTTAAATATTATCACTAATGTTTCTGCGTGAGATTTTTCACTGGGACCAAAAATAAGAGGTTTGAAATCATCTGAGAGATTATCAGCACAAACATGACAACGTGGCCCCGCCTCGCCGGCGGGCGATCATGTAGTGTCTGAGCTGCTGGTCAGCTGTGAAGGACAGGAGGCTGCATCTGATGGACCTGGGCTTCATGCTGCAGGTTGTGGACAGACTGGTTTTAATGTCTCTGTGTGGACAGACAGACTGTAATGTCTCTATTTGGACAGCCTGGTTTTAATATCTCTGTGTGGACAGCCTGATTTTAAATGTCTCTATGTGGACAGCCTGGTTTTAATGTCTCCATGTGGACAGCCTGGTTTTAATGTCTCTCTGTGGACAGCCTGGTTTTAATGTCTC